CGCCCCCACCCGAGAAAATGGAGGCAGCTCTGTTGTGGGTGCCTAGCCTGGTGTGGTAGGCCAGAGCCAGGTGGGCGGGGACCAGTCGGGCTTTGCCCCGCAAGTGGGGCTGGGCTGGGGGTGACTCACAGAGCTCGCAGAGTTGGGCCAGTCCGGCGCCTTCCACTCCGTTTCTGTGTCGTCTCTTCTGATTTACTTGGCCTTTGTTGGCTCGGGCTGCTCGCTCGAACCCGCAGCAGGGCTTGGGAGCTCTCAGGAGTCTTCTTTTGTGTTGGCCCTAAAACCTTGAACCTGTTGTTGCCTGTTTGTCATTGTAGGTTCGTTGTTGAAAGATTTATTCGTTTTTTGTTGCTCTTGGAAATGCAAATAGTACTCTGGTATCACAGCGCACACTTCTCAGGGTCGCGCTGTCTCCTGGCACGACCGCTCCAGACCCGTCGCCATCTTAGAATCCATCAGCCCCATTATTCTTCCAAGGTAAAAGGAGGGTTCCTTGATATAAAAAAGTCTCCAAAGATTAACACCCTCAAGAGAGATCTTGGACCTTAATCAAGGGACCAATTAACACATTTGGTCTCCCCTCTATAACCCAGGAGGGAGGGTAATTACAGCTGGCATGGTTTTATGTGTTCCTTCTTTGTTGTTGGTTGTGCTCTCAAGTCCTCTCTTAGATGTGGTGAAATAGGCTCATGAGCATTTTAGGCCCTCTTCTTCTATAGCTGGATAATTTCCAAAGAAGCTGAGTGAGTCAAACATTGCTAACAGTAGACTGTGTGTTCCTCTCAGAGTACTGATGCAGTGAAACACTCTCAGAAGCCTGAACTGAAATATCTTTTGTCTGTTTCTGATCACCTGGGTTCACAATAAACAAAAGGAGTCATATCACGGGAGAGGAAAACTTTCTCAGAACTATTAGGTGAGTCACTGGATACTCTGCTCTAAGGAATGTCCAGAGGCTGGGATCCAGGCAGAATACCATGGATTTACAAGCAACTCAGCAGCATCATCCTTGATGTCTAAGTTTCACGGGGGAGCCTAATTACACAGCAGCTTGTTTATTTATTATTTTTAAATAGAGAAAGCTCATATAAGTCACTTCTCAAAAGGATTAACAGATGACCTATCCCTTTTGTAACTATCTAAAGACAAAGTCAGTTAACGCTAACACCAATTATAAATAGACAGAGGGATATTGAACGGAAAGAATTCAAAAATTCTTCCTAAAGTTGTAATGACAACTAACAATTGAAGACTTGGAGTCCCAAACACAACTAAATATGGGTCATAGGATGGGTCACAGGAGTGCCTTGCCGCACCTCACAACATGGCAATGTGGTCAGGGTGGGGACAGGAACCTGGAGGGGCAGGCTGACGTGTCTGAGCCATAGCTGTTCCCGCTGTTTTGGCCTCATCTGTTATAGATGAATTTGCTCTCTAAGTTATAGTGTGAGCTGCTGCCACTGCCTGAGGAGCTGTAGGAGCTGGAGTAGGAGGAGTAGTTGCCTGGTCCAAGGTTATAGCCTTTGTGCTTCCATGACAGCTTTTCTTAGCTTGAAAAACAAATCCGTAGAAGGATGATGTAAATACCCAGGCTGTGTCAATACACTTCAGCACGAAGGGGCAGAGGTGGTGACTGGAAAAACATTGATTTGGTTGGTGTTTAAAGAGACTCATTTGATTGGTGTTTGAAGTGAGTTGGTGTTTAAACATAGACCCAGAAGAAGAGTTGTGGGTTACTTCTGGGGGACCTGTATCACCTGATTTGTTTCATTCATAAAGTTGAATTCAAGCACTCTATAGAAGATTCCTGGAGAGTATTATTACTGAATTGAGTGGATCCAACAAGGCTTTGATGAACATGTCTGGTTCTAAAGGAAGAGAGAGACCACTAGGCAGGAATAGAGGTAATACTTTGTCTTCTACTTGCCACATTGTTCCTGATAGAAAAAAATACTTCAGATTTTGTTTGCTCGCCTAAAATGTATTGAACTTTTTCAAAGTCAGCTAAGTAACTTCTAGGAAGGGCTGCAGATGGAATATCTTAAAGGAAAAGATGATGTCAAAGAGGCCACTTTCTCATGCTATCTTTACATTTTCTTCTGTTTTTCATTTGCTGAGCAAGATTAAATGGAGGTAAGCATGGGGAGAAGGAATATATTATACCAAGAATGTATGAGGAAAAGCTGAAGAAAGAGAGCAAGATAAACTCTATCCTAAAATAAACTTTTTCCCAAAACAGAAGAAGAAAGCTTAGGAGTCCTTGATAAATAAGAGGCAACCAAAAATAAGGTTTTATCAGAAGTGGTGGAATCTGGAATGGTTGAGAAAAACAATGTGGCGATTAAAAGGTGCCTGTTAGATTCTCACCAGTATCACTGGATTAACATAGTTCTTTCTGTATGGCAGGCTGTGCATTGGTAATTTTATCTCTTAGGTATCTATAGGAACAAGCTTTCCAGTGGTTTCTATCTAAATACTGAGATTCCCCTGCCTCTCAGTTATGCGAGCAAGTTTAGCAAAACATTTTAAAATACCTCGGCATTTATTCTTCCAGAAAGGAGATGAACTATTCTTTAGTTTGCCTCACTTATGTGGTAAGCAATCAACTTTATCACTTTTCTATTTATTTCTTGTAAGAGTATCTATGCGAAGAAATATGGTGATTGTGTTATTGGCAACATGCTCAGTTATGTTATTCTTACCATGTTTGTTTCTACAATAATGTCACTGAAACGGACTCTGCCGTTCTAGGGACCTTTGCGAGAAATTCTTGCAAAGAATGTGTAGAGGCCTCCCCTACTCTCTGACTTCCTGCTTCCATCCCAATGGTGATCAACCACAGGTTTTTGTCTCTTTCTTTCTCATGCCATACACCACCTCTTGCCGTATTATGTTTCCTTTGGCACATTTCTCATCTCACTGGAGATCTTTTGCTTCTTACAAACCATCAAGTATAGTGCTTTGAACTCTACACTAGTTAGAAATAAGATGAATGCAGCAATTAATACATTTTAGTGAGTCATCAGAGAGAAGTATTTCAAGATTTGTGTCTGGAGCAAGAGCATCTGGATTTGAATACCGGTCTGTCCTTCACAGGTTGTGTAACCTTGGAGTGTTTAGCACTCTGACCCCTAGTCTCCTTATCAGTAAAGGGAGAATAATAAGAGTACATAACTCACAGGGCTGTTGGCCAAATAAAAATGAGATAAAATATAAAGGAATTCAGAACAGCACCTGGAATATAGTATGCACTCAATAAATACCATGCCTTGCTTTTCAGGCAATTTTAATCACATTAAGAACAAAAAAATATAAGCAAGTCAAAGAGCTTGGGAGTTTTACAAAAACTGGCCAGTGTTAAACTAAAGTAAACAGGAGGTGCAAAAAATTATTGTTTATAGACATGTTCCTGTCAATATGGTAGGTTATATTCAAAGAAACTACTTAGATATCCAGAGGAAATATAAAACACGGTGTCCTAATCCCCGTATACTTGCCTAAGAATCTTAACTATTCTGTGAATTCAAGTCACTCACCCTTGCAGGAGAAAAGTCTTTTTTGTATTAGCATATTCATTATCACAAAGCATAATTATTCTTTATGCCCTTTAACCGAACAATCAGTCCTCAACACCCTTCCTTCCCTTCTCCCCATCTCTAATATCCTTAGATTTCTTCTCTTCTTTTGAAGAACAGTCTTTAACCTGGGTACCAAGGATCGACTTGAGGGTAATTGAAAACCCAAAAAAGAACTGTATGCAAAGGTGGTAAGTAGTTGCAGTTTTCTAGGAAGAGGGTTCAGAGTTTACAAAGCTTTTTAATAATAACATTGACCCAAAGAAGTTTAAGAATCACTGTCCTAGAAATTTTACCTTATAAATAACTCTGATTTGAGAAAAGAAAATATGCACCTGCAAGAAACGAGCATAATGGCTGTTTCAACCTTGTCTTATTTAACTTCTCAGGAGCCGTCCTAGAGTCATTAGATGGGTAAGTCACAACCATTTCCAAGCTGTTCCCTGGTGTGTGACTTTTCCCACCCTCCTGCCACATTATTCTTTTATGTCTCCACGCTTTATAAAAACAAAGAGGCAGCTACAGAATTATCAATACCCCTGATTATAGATTGATTGAATGTTAGTTCTCACAGATACTTTAAAAAGCCCCTGAAGACATTTTAAAGAGCATTCTCATTTGACACAGGAGGCCAAGCATAATTCAGGGATGTCTCCAAACACTGAATGAATAGCAGATCTATGCCTGAGCAGAATCATCCTATTTCACAGTATTTCCTCATTTGGCATATCTCCAAAGTCTCATACATTTGCAAAACCTGGCATGGGAAAACATAAAATTGAGTCATTTTGATGGTATCATACTAATGATGATTTACTGTCTTTTGTCAACGTAGACAGAATAATAATATTTATTAAAGAGATTTTATTAAGTTACAGTTTATGGTTGTACATGGAGAGCATGAATAAACTCAACATGGAAGATTCGAGGTTGTATACTTAACCAGCAGCCTGACAGAAAACAAAATTTTAAGTGTATTTATTTTTCTTTTATGGGAATAAAAGCACTTCCTTCTCTCCACCTTTTCCCCAGCAGGAGGCGCCAAGCAGATCTATGGAAGGGGATGGAAACCACACCTCTGTGGACATGTTTATTCTCCTGGGACTTTCAGACGTAAGAGAACTGCAGCTCATCCTCTTTCCAGTCTTCCTGTGACCCTCATCTGGAACCTAGGTCTTATCATTCTCATCAGGATCAACTCTAACCTTCATACACCCATGTACCTTTTTCTCAGTTCCCTGTCGTTTATAGACATCTGCTACTCTTCTTCCATCAGCCCAAGGATGCTCTCAGACTTCTTATGTGATGAGAATACAATTTCCTTCATGGCCTGTGCCATTCAGTTGTTTGTCACTGCCTGGATGGGTCTGGCTGAGTGCTGCCTCTTGGCCACAATGGCCTATGACCGCTATGTTGCCATAGGTAGCCCTCTGCAGTACTCAGCCATCATGGTCCCTGGCCGTTCTTGGAAGATGATTGCTGTGGCATATGGGAGTGTTTTCCTCAGTAGCTTAGTTCGAACAGTCCCTTGCTTTCATCTGTCCTACTGTGGGCCAAATATCATTGAACATTTCTTCTGTGACGTACCTCAGGTTATTTCTTTGTCATGCTCCAATCCCTTCATCTTTCAAATGATTGTTTTTCTGGTAGCTATTTTTGTGGGGGTGGGTACTTTGCTTGTTATCCTCTTATCCTATGGTTTCATTGCAGCTTCCATCCTGAAAATATCCTCAGTCAAAGGAAGTGCCAAGGCCTTCTACACCTGTGCCTCCCACCTGGCTGCTGTGACACTGTACTATGGCACAGCCCTCTCTGTGTACATGCATCCTGGCTCTGGCCACACCATGAAGCACAAGGTGCTGTCTGTTTTCTATGTTATCTTTGTCCCCATGTTAAACCCTCTAATCTACAGTCTGAGGAAGAAGGACATCAAAGAGGCCCTCAAAAGGTTAATAATGAGGTGGGACATTTTCCTCAGTAAGAATAACATTTGAGCTGATATTCTTAATACTATAAGGATGGTGGAAGTGAGAACATGTTAGTGCCCTTGTATAGATCACAAGAATATCTAGGTAGAGAAAAGTGGGAAGCTGGTTTCTTTGATTCTTGATGCCATTTTGTTTAGCTGTCCCCATTAAGTCATCTGTCTCAGGCATTGCCACCAACATTAGATACCATTTGGAAGGCCAGTTTTTGTGATGGTAGCCCAGGTAGAGTCAACCCTAAAGCTGATTACGTTTTTGAAAACAGAGATGCTGATAGATACTATACGTAGAAATATGACAAGAACCTAGGACACTGCACAACCTGTTCTTTTCTTCATAACTTTTCTTTACTTGTTTTATTTATTTTTATTTGTTAATCATTTGTTTCTATTTCAATAAAAATAAAACAAATAATCCATAAAATTATATATACAATTATTAATAATAGTTATAAAGTGAACGTTTTAAAACTTTGATCTCAAACACACACAGAAAGAGTGTATGAGTAAGAGAGAGAGAGAATGAGAGAAAAAAAGAAGAGAAGGGAAGAGAGAGAGAGAAAGAGAGAGAGAGACAGCAGGAGGGGGTGCAGTATTTGTTTTTGTTTATTCCCAAATTGCCTTGTTTCTTCAACACTACCCCTTGAGCCTGAAGAAGGAAGTAATTTGTGAAAAAAGAATAGGAGGAAAGAATAGCAGAAAGAAGGGGGCACTTTTAAGTCATGGGTGGGGCATATGCCTGGAGGCTACAAAAAAGTCAAAGTCAGCAATCTCTGGGCATTGGTGGGCCAGAGCACGGTCCAAAGTAGCTTCCTACAGACCGTGTAAGACCTCAGAAATGATGGTTACTGTGTGCATCTAGGGAGGCAGGACCCTAATCCCAGAGGTATGAGCCTCAATGCAATAGAAAATACAATACAATAGAAAAGATCAACGAAATGAAGTATTGGTTTCTTGAAAACATAAATTGAGAAACCTTTCAATAGACTAAGAAAAAAGAAGACTCAAATAAATAAAATCAGAAATGAAAAAGAAGACATTACAATGGATAATACAGAAATACAAGGAACAGAATAGACTACTATAAACAATTATATGCCAATAAATTATACAACCTAGCAGAAATGGATGAATTCCTAGAAATATATAACCTACCAAGATTGAATCTCAAAGAAACTGGAAATCTGAAGGAGTGTGTAAGGAGATGGATTAGTAATTAAAATTCTCCCATTAAAAAAAAAATGCCCAGGATTGTATGGCTTCATGGCTGAATTCTACCAAATTTTTGAGGAGGAAGTAATATCATTTTTTTCCAAACTATTCCAAAAATTGAAATGGATAGAATACACTCAAACTCATTTTACAAGACCAGATCACTCCTGATAACTAAAGGCAAACAAAGGCACTATAAGAAAAGAAAACTACAGGCCCATATCACTGATGAACATAGATGCAAAATTCCTCATTAAAATTCTAGCAAACCATATTCAACAGTATATTAAAAGGATCATTCACCATGATTAAACGGGATTTATCCCTACGTTGAAACTTTGGTTCGACATACACAAATCAATAATAGCAATATACAACATTAACAGAATGAAACACAAAAACCAAGTGATCATCTCAATTGATGCCAAAAAAGTATTCCACAAAATCCATCATCTTTTCATGATAAAAGTTCTTAATGCATTAGGCTTAGAAGGAAAATGCCTCAACACAATAAAGGCCATATATAACAAGCCCACAGTTGACATTAATACTATTCAATTTACACTAGTGTAAAAAATAAAGTACTTAGGGGTAAATTTAACAAAAGAAGTGAAAGATCTGTGTACTGGAAGCTATAAAACATTACTGGAAGAAATTGAAGAGGACACAAATAAGTGGAAAAATATCATGTGTTGAGGAATTTCAAAAATTAGTATTGTTAAAATGTTCATACTATCCAAAGTAATCTACAGATTTAATGTTATTCACAATGCATACTATATGAGGGTACCTCAAAAGTTCACGGAAAAATGGAATTGAAAGGTAATATCAATGACTCCATGAAATTTTGAAGACAACTGGTAGCTGTTGTTGACTCTGAGTATAGTTACCCTACTCTGTAATGGAACACTAGAACATGTTTCTTCTATATAATTGTAAGTTTACTCCCATTGACCATCCTTTTCCCATCCTCCCTTCTCTCCTTCCTTTCCCAGCTTTGGGTAACCACTATTGAACTCTCGACTTCTATGAACTTAATTTTTTCTTTTTTTTTTTGTTTTTAGATTCCACAAATGAGTGAGATCATGCAGTATTTGTCTTTCTGTGCCTGGGTTATTTCACTTAACCTAAAGATCTCTAGTTCCATCTCTGTTACTGAAAAATACAGGATGTCACTCTTATGAATGAGTAGCATTTCATTCTGTATATACACCACATTTTTCTTATGCAGTTCTTGGTCGATGGACATTTATGTTGGTTCCATACCTTCACTGTTGTAAATGGAGCTATGCTGAACATGGGAGTGCAGGTATCTCTTCCAGTAGTGATTTTCATCATTTGTGTATATACCCAGAAGTGGGATTACTGGATTCTATGGTAGTTGTGCCTATAGTTGTTAGAGAAACCTCAGACTGTTTTCTATAATTGCTGTAGTAATTTACATCTAAATCATGAGTTCCATTTTTTCCACAATCTCCGGCATTTGTTGTCTTTTTCATAATAGCCATTGTAACTGGAGTGACTTGATACTTCATTATGATTATTTATTTATTTATTTATTTCAAATATTCAGGAAATACAAAGCTGATTGTGGCCCCTCCTGCCCATGATGTGGGGGCCATATTCACATTGGGGATGTACCCATCACCAGAAATTGGTTTTGTACCCTTTGTCCCCTCCAATTATACCCCAACCTCCCTCCCCCCCCTCAACTTCAATTTGTAGCCCTTAGAATGTTCCCTCCTGTTTATTATGATTTTGATTTATGTTTCCCTGAGGATTAGCATATTGAGCATATTTTCATATACCATTGATCTTTTCTATGGCTTCTACTGAAAAATATGGATTTAGATATTTTGCCTATTTTTAAATCAGATTTTTTGTGTTTTCTTCTTATTATTATTATTGCTATTGAGTTGTTTGAATTCATTACATATTCTGGGTATTGACTTATTGTCAGATGCATAGTTTGCAAATACTTTCTCTCATTCAGTAGGTTGTCTCCTCACTTTGGGGTTTGTTTCCTTTGCCTTGCAGAAGCTTTTTAGTTTGATGTAATCCCGTGTGTCTGTTTTTGCTTTTGTTTCTTGTACTTTTGAGGTGTTATTTGAAAAATCCTTGCCCAGGTCAATGTCATGAATCATTTTCTCTATGTTTATGAACACATGCATATGTTTTCCCCATCTTTATGTCTACATATACTGAAATACCAGTTCCTAAATAATGGGAAGAATATTGGGGGGCGCAGAGACTGTCCTGTTCTTCACTGATTTTCTTTGTTTATCATAGTTAAGCATTTATTGATATTCCAATAAAAATAAAATAAAATAATGCATAAAATAAAAAATTAAAAATAATTGTCCAAATAACACTTTCTAATTATGGTCCCAAATAGAGACACAGAAAGAGAGTGAGTGAGAGAAAGAAAGAGAAGAGGAAAATAAAAGAGAATATAAGAATGAGAGACACACAGTGGGGGCTGGGCAGTATTTGTCTGGGTTTGCTCACCAATAATCTTGTTCCTTCAACCTCACCCCAAGATCCTATAGAATAAACTGAATTATGAAAAAGAGATGGGAGAAAAGAATGGTAGAAGGAAGGAGGCACTTTTAAGGTCAAGGGCTGGGGACATTCCCAGACATAAGAAAGGAGTCAAAGTCAGCAATTTGTGGTCATAGGTGGGCCTGAACCATGCTCCGTGGTAGCTTCCCAGAGTTCATGCTGAGAGTTCACCCCAGAGTTTATGGCTGTCCAATGTCCAGGGAGGCAGGATTCTGGTCCCCGAGACCTTACCCAGAGATTCCAGGGCCTTAACTTTCACCAGGGAGCAGCAGAAACCACAAGACCTAGGGTTGCCATGGAAACTTAACATCCAACAAAGAGAATTAAAAAATTTACACAAAGATATTTCTTCAGACCAAAGTTTATGGACTGAATTTTATATATATTACGTTAGCATTTATGCAACACTTTACACTTCATACAAGTTACATCTCATAGTTTTGAGGTTTTTTTCTACCCCCATGTGAGGTTGGCAGGTGAGAAATTTTGTCCATTTTACTGATGGGACACTTGGGCACTGGGAGGCCTTTTATGCTATTCCCAGTGTGGGCTTCAACCCACCTTTAATATCACTAAGTGTGATTTGTGGAACACGAATGGTTCTCATTCACCAAAACTATTTCCTTTATTGGTCAGCCAGTGTGCCCAAATCCATACTTTTGGTGTTATTCTTCAAAACTATTCAATAAGCTATTGTTTTAAAGCCTCAGATTACTATAGTTCTTATCAGTTAGACATATAAGTACTTACCTATTAACAAGAGTTACTTTAAATAATTAACTCATTGGCCCCCAACCTCCTTTCTCCCTAGAAGTAAAATTGGCTGAATCAGATCTAACCAAAATTAGGACCTTGTCCAAGACATCTCTGTATCTCTAGTAATTGTCAGGATGTATGAGCTCCGTTCCCCCACACCACTTCCTAGCGCCGCCTAACAAAACCAAAGAATGTTTGTGTGAAAGACCTTAAATCGATAATTTTTGAATGAAGCATTTCCATTAAAAATTAAAAATGCATTGTAATATGTTGAAAGATCTTCATATTAGAACGCATAAACTATATCTACTATTAATAATTAGAAATCATGATGTAAACTACACACTCAGAAGTATTTCATAATCTCTTTAAAAAAGAATCTTGTGTATTTAAGGTATATGACATGATGTTATAAGACAAATACATACTGTAAAATGGTTACTATAGTGAAACCTTTTATCATATCTGTTTCCTCACATA